TTGTACCTTAGTCACCTGACTTGGCACCATCTGACTTCCAGAAGTCAACTTATGCCCCAAAATGAGAGTTGCTTCCGATGTTTCCAGGTGAGACCAAGAACTTTTTTGAGGTACCCGTTTAGATAGATGGATATATAGGTGTATATTATCGATTACCATTAAACTATGTTGATACCCTGAAGGGATATTCACAAGATAAACTATGTGAAGTAGTTGAACCAACTCTGTCAACACTGAATTCATGATCACATGTATATATCAGTAAATATACAGTAATATACATTGGTATAAAATATGGTTTGCAAAATTAATGCTTTCACTTTTCTTTTTTGACGTTAATACTTTTACGTAATTGTTTCTGAAGTGTGGCATTGCTACTTTTTTAAAAAAAAAATACAAGTAGGAGATCTGAGTACTTCCACCTCTAGATCTAAGCAATGGCCACTGTTCCCATAATTATTTTTTATTTAGATTTTTCTTTGTCAGTTTTATTTCAGATGATAATGGAGAGTCAAAAGCAAACAAGTGGAGCCAGAGAGGGATGGATGACATGTAGCAAAGCTCCCCAGTCAGAACTGAACTGAACCATTGTGGCTATATGTGCTGTAAACATTCCACAACTAACATATTGCCATTGACGTCGTATCATGGAAGAAACCGTTCAACATTGGCAGAAAACAAAACAAAACTGAGAGACCAATGAATCGAGAGATGAATACGCAGACTGACAGAAAATGTATGCAAGTATTTTGATAATTGACTCATCATTTTAGTCGTTTTCAATTAAAAATGCCCAACAGTCCCCAGTGCCAGGTTCTCATTTGTGAGGCTTTCGCTGTTTCTTTGGTTCTGCTTTGGTTGCTGTAGCAAAAACAATCAGTTTGAAGACATAACTCTGTGAAATAGTGCCCATCATTAGTGCACTAGTTTCTGTCATTTCATGCCGGTAATGAAAGTAATAGTTCAGCCCTAAGTAAATTATTGCATCGTAAAGTGAGAATTATTGTATTATTCAGTGCATCATGTTTCAGTTCAGGGCTATGGCTCTCTCTTGCTCCTTCTCACTAATTCCACTCTCTTCTTTCTCTGTCGTTTGCATTTGCATTGCATTTGGCATTGCCTCCTAATCAGCTACCTCATCCAAACTTAGTGTTTTTTCTTTGTTTTGCTGCCTTTTCTTAGCTAATTGTAGCAATAATTAGCAAGGGACACTGTTCTTGATAGATTTTTGTTTTGTATAGGAACTCTGCACGGGAAAAGTTCTTGCAAGATTAAAATAGAAACAAATATACTGTTTTTTGTACCCTTGGGAAATTTGTGTGGGCTCTACTGCAGTTTCTAAAACAACAAATGCAATATACAATTCAGAGATAAAACATCACAAAAGACAATAAAAGACAATCAGAAGAAACGGTTACAAGTACATTCAGTACTACACACACACACACACACACACACACACACACACAAACGCTCGCACGCGCACACACACACACACACACACACACACACAAACGGGATTCAGTGTACCTGATTTTTCTCTCCATTTTACCTGTCAAGGCAAAGCATCTCTGTATGTTGGTGGAAATCTTCATTATGTATGGTGTGTAGTCTTTCTGAAATTTTAATCATCTTAAGGTCTTTTCCCCAGTTCAGATCTCATAGTTTGCATGCAGCAGCTGAAAAGAGCAGAAGTCTCCCTATTTGATCTTTCCCTCTCATCTTTCTTTCTCCCATTGTCATTATTAAAGCTGCCCTGCCTTTTTAAAAATCATCCGCAATGATGACTCTTCACAGATAGAGCTATAACATGTCCTCGCTGCCACAACCTGTCCCCGTAAAACCCCCACAGGTACAGCCAACATGCTACATAGTGGGCTCACCCGTCGAGGTGGAATAATGTGATGCTGAGTGCTGCACGCCCGAGGGTTAATGCCATGCTACCTCAGGCCTGGTTAGACTGCACCGCTGTAGGCCAAGGAAGCCCTCCGCACACACACAGAAGAGACCGCCAGCTGACAATGCCTGTGGCTCTCACTCGCAGACAAATAGCTCGTTGATGCTGTGCGGGGCATCAGCAGTCCGCCCAGTTCTGTTCCATCTAAGATTCATGTGGTGCGTCGGAGAGAAAGGGCAGCCAAAGAGCACCTCCCAGAGGTTTCTCTCCCCATATAATGCAGTGCCACACCTCTCCGGTGCATAAGGCCTCAATGGGCTCCTCTGATCTCCCATGTCTGTATCCCGTTGTGCTGCTTCCAGGTCCCTTAATTTCTTCGATTTTATAACTTCAGAAATATTACCAACTCTTTTGCCTTGACAGGCAGAATAAGAGAGAAAAGCTAGGCCAGATAAGATTGACTTATACTGTTTATATAAATATTTATATACACTTCACAATGACACCTGAAACACTGCAAGCCAAGTAAGTGGATTTTGTTGAAAAAAAAATTGGAAAAAACAACTTTTCCCTCACACAAACTTGGCTCGAAGTCCCTCTCAGGTCATTGATCAAACCCCTAAGAACTCATCTCTGTGTAAAGTTACAGATTTCAAAGTTTTTTTATTCATGTAAATATTTAATTCCTGCACTGAAATGATGCAACTCTACACCACTGATTTCTCTAGAATGTGGAGATCCATTCACTTCCCACCTTGAGAGCTCGAGCACACCAGCTCACCTTTGACTCTGCTGAAGCACTGCGAAACTACTCAGTGAGCGTAATATTGGATTAATTCACGTGTTCAAACCAGAAACAGATTTTGAAAGACAGAAATGGTATCGAAAGCCACACCTTGCAAGTAGATAGGATTATGTCCAAACCCCATGGCTGCAATCAACGCATAACGCATGCGGAACATTCACAGGGCGTTTCCTGCGTCACTATACTTCCATTATAGTCAGTGAAACTGGCTACACCAGGCATGTGAGCAGCGTGTTGAGTGGTGTGTAAGTGGTGTGTCTGTGCAGTGGAGATCCGCACTTAAAACGCAAAAATAGACTAGTTCTTAATTTTTTAAGTGAGGCATGAAGCTCTTTTGCACAGAAAGGGGTCTGTATTGGTTTTCAAATTAAACTACCAGTACACATAAAATTCTTAGTAACGTTATCCCCTGGAAAGTCTACTGTAGTCTGCATATATCATTTTACCCATATTATACACATTTGTTTAAAAAAAAGAAAAGAAGGATAAAGATGTTTGAGAGTGCTGTACTAGTAACAAAAACCAAAGACACAATAATCCCAAAATAAAAGTTCACAGTCTTGTTTTGCCAGAACTCTCCACCATACATATGCTGCAGGTGTAGGCAATAAATAATATATACATATATATTCTGAGGCTCATCCAGTCTACATATGTTGTATATCAGTGTAGCCACGACATTAGATTTGTTTTGTATGAAGCCCAGAAGTCCAAATTTGTGTTTTTCAGTGTCATCAGTACACCAGAGTTTTGAGGTGGAAATGCTCAGCCATGGCTTTGACTGCTTATTTCACTCACCATAGGTCTTCCAGGATATAGAAAACACATGTTAACAAGTTAAAAGACTTGATTTTCAGGGTAATAGACTTGATTTTCACCGGAGGTGGTCTCAGGAGCAAAAAAAAAAAACCTTTAAATGATTGCTAATGTAGATCGAAAACTTGCGAGAGCACAGTAGAGCCGGGTGAGAATCCTTGTCAGAGAAGGATGAGGTTGGGAGGAGAAAGACTGAGTTAGAAACAGAATGGGATAAAATAGACGCACGTGGGCTAGATGAGGGATGGGATTGCCAGGCAAGTGGCAGAGCAGCAGAGGAAAGACAGTGATGTAGTGGTAGCGAGTGGAGGAAAAGAAGGAAGAGTGGAGGAATAATGGATGAGGACAATAGAAGTGCATTAGAACCGGAGGTGGCATGTGTGTCTCTGTGGAATTGCGTGAAGATACGAGAACGGGAGTGACAGATGCCTACAACTGTATATACGTCTACTTATTTAATGTTTATGCATAAGCTGACATGATCCAGTGTAACGACCTCCTTCGTGCACGTCTCACTTAAGCAGAAAAGCAGCCTTTCTACTTGGATTATTACAATTATCCATTAGCATGTGGTTTTAACATCCAAGCTGCGTTATTCTGAGCTGTAACAATGTGGTTTTAAAAACGAGAGCCGAAGTCAGTGAGGCGGCACCCACAGAGCGTTTACATTTACCCAGACAATGCATCCAAATGATTTACTGTTGTTGTCTGCCAGAAAAGGATATTTTCAATGAAGAGTGTAGTCAGCTAAAATTTAAACAATGCTCGAAAACAATATCGTCACCCACTCATCTCCAGTGCAGCTCTCCTCCAACGGTGGCCTTTCGCACATCCACACACACATAAGTCCGCACAGTCACACATTCACACCCACACATGCTCTCATCTGGCCCCTGGAGAAGCCTGTCACTGTGAGTGGCCCTCTGCCATGGGAGGATAAACTACCTGTCATGACGACGACTTTCTGTGGAATTCATATCAGAGGCAAAACAAAGGAGGTGCTGAGGTCACGGGGCATCACTCTTAAATTATTCATCCTCTGCTTCCTCCTTCCGTCTCCTCTCTGCCTGTCGCCCACTTTGTTCTGCCAGCTCACAACAAGGGCAACTGTCAGCCTCCTTCCCATCTTGAATTTTTGGGGATATAAAGTAAATAAACATTTTAGCAAGAGAACTCCCTCAGAAAAGTTGATGATTGACTGGTTTGGAGGGTATGTTTATGTTCACGTTAATCATGTGGCGAGGTTGGGGAAGGGCACCGCATGTCTCTCACTTCTGAATGTCACAGCATCATGAAATTTTAAAATATGCTTTCCCTCCTACTCGTTGTTTGGTCTCCTTGCGTGCATAATTGATCAGTGTCCTGGCAGCTGCTCGGGCGCACACAATCGCAGGATGTCTCTCCGCGCGATGGCCTCGAGCTTCGAGAGAACTGAATTGAAGCAGTCCATAAATTATATCACTCTGTGTTTTCTAATTCCAGAAACAGCTGTCTGCTCTGGGCTTGACCGATGCATGGGACCAGAAGGTGGCAGATTTCTCCGGGGTGTCGGACAAAAGCAAAGGGAAGCTACATCTCGGCGGGGTCGTCCACTGGGCTTCCCTGGAGCTGGCGGCTCAGGCTGGGAAAGGAGATCTAGAGGATGAGAGCGTGGAAAAGCCCAAGCTGTTCTACGCCGACCACCCCTTCATCGTCTTTGTTCGAGACAACACGACCGGAGCGCTGCTGCTGATGGGAGCGCTGGACCACGCAGAGGGAGAGGCCTTACACGATGAACTGTAGCACTCTCTAGCATCTGTCTTTTCCCTTGTCTTTCCCTTTCGCATTCCCTCTCAAACGCCGCACGCTGGTTTCCAAGTCGAGACATTGTCATTCACTGTAGCACACTATCGCTTCGCACTACGTCTGGCTGTCATACATTGACACCACATAGTCTTACACTGACTGACACTGGCACTGCCAAACCTGACACTTACAGTCTCACACACACACCAACACCTACATGACATCTGTAAATGAAAATACAGTACAAGACATTACTAAAGTTGACGGATACAGCAGAAACACTAACTTTGAGCGACTCCCCGTTCTTTGTCTCTCCCACACACACACACATATACACACACATTCAAGGGCTCAATGATCAAGTCGACACAAAACAAAATGACAAACAAGAGTGCACTGACAAACCCTAACGTGCTGACAAGCAAAAGTGGTTACACTGACACAACACTTAGAGCTGCATCAACAGAGAACTTTTACAAACAGAAGCTCGCAGTGACACTTGAAACCTCCCTGTCAGGCAAACACTAGGGCAGTGTGTGTCCGTGTGTGTGCTTGTGTTTGTGTGGTGACCGACAGATCAAGGGTGCCCGTGGGGCCACTCTCTGAGCTGGCAGGGACCTATGCTGGGGTCCCCTGGGCTACATCTGAGGAAGACTGATGGATCAGCCAAGTGCTTATTGATGAGGCAGCTTAATGCTAATGACTGTAATGCGTTACGGCGCTTGTCAACAACACGGAGAGGACGGGGAACCTTTTAATCTCTTAATGCCATCAGGGATCAATGACACCATTATGCTGTTGGAAACAAACATGACTGACATCCCATGACTTCAATGTAACAGCTTAATATTTAGAATGATTACAGCAATTCAGAGTTATTGATTTCCATTTGTGTATTTGTTTTTTTATCTAGCACCTTGGTATGTAGATGGTGATTTTATTTTTTTTACTCTTTTTTTTCACTTGTGCGACTGTATATATATCTGCGTCTTCTCCTTATCTTTGATACACAATCAATCAAACATGTACTGTTAATATATAATACGCATGAATTGCCACAACTCCATCTTTCTTGACAGCACTGATACAAGCTGAGACAGGAGGCCATTTTTTATGTTTTTTACTTCTCCCCTGAACAGAGTCATCTGACACCGAGCCTCGCGGGTTCATGGAAGTAGATTTAAAGCCCCGAACTAGCATCAGCGTATTGAATTTTAGTGGCGACACATGATAGACTCACAGTGCCTGGAAAGTGTAGCAGCAACTTTGTCAACTAACTCGCCGACTGCTTCCCAACAACCTCAGGTAAAATGTGTTTCCTCCATTCGCAACAATAAATAATTGAGAAATAAAATGTATGAGTGGAAAACAGAAAATAGTCCCTTTTCGCTGTTTTTTCTTATAACGGTGTTAGTGTTTTGGTGTCTTCTGTGGTTAAAATGTTTTATTTAAGGTTCTAGAACATTTCAGTCTTACTACAAAAGATGCTTTTGTGTTGTGCTGGTTGTCTACCTGACTACACACCACAAGTACTTTTGGTACACGGCAGTCTTATTGTAAATGCATAGTGACAAACCTAGAAAAAGGAGCGGTCTGTTTTTTTATTGCAGGTAAATATGTAAATGTGTGCTACATCTGTCCTGTTACAGTGCGTCTAGACACACAGCTGGTCTGTCTGATTCACAGCATTAGAAAAAAAAAAATCTGTTCCAGTAACACTCTATTCCAGCTTTGTTCCCAAATTAGCCCCCTTTACAAGTCTGCTCAGCAACAGCGTGTGACGTGCATGTGTGTTTGTGTGTCCGTGCGCCGTTCGGGTGTGAATTCATGTGTAAATAAAGCCACCACAATGGCCTCTCTGCAGTGGCCTTCTGTGCAGCACAGACTAGCAAAGGCCACTATACTGCAGGTACAGTCCTCGTGGATAAACCTGAGCGCTCAATTTAGACAAGCCGGTGATGGATCTGAGGTCGTCTGCTGTGAGCGCATCAATGCTGTTTATTCTAATGCTGGCCTCCTGCTGGCTCAAGTTCACATTTTATTGAGAACACTGACAAACATGCATGTTCGCATCTGCTCACGGGTAGCTGGATGTCATATGATTTACAAGGATTTGGTAAGAAAGCAGCTTCTCAGTGGTGTGGAGCTGCTATATATGTTGTACATCAAATCTAGAGGTAAGCTTGTTTTTATTTGACCGAAAAGTTTCCTCAACAAAAGACATTATATGAAACTTCTAATAACTTGTTTATCTGTACATTAAATTTTATAATTCATCCTACATCCACCCAACCGGTCGAGACAGATGGCCGTCCCTCCTTGAGCCTGGTTCTGTCTGAGGTTTTTTTCCCCCGCGGGGGTTTTCGGTTCCGTCCCACTGTTGCAGACTGCTTTCGCTGAAGCATATAGGGAATCCAAATGTTTCAGATTGTTGGGTGTTTCTGCCTTTGTTAAGCGCTATGAGATGACTTGTTGTTGTAAATATGCGCTATACAAATAAAATTGAATTGAATTGAAAGATGTTTATGATACCTTTGAAATATTTTTTTTCTACAATTTTGATTAAAATGCCATTTCCAAAATGATTTGATGACCATTCCAGTTGTAATAATCCAATTCCAGTAACTCCAACCATGTTTTAGAGCGTTACACTACACTATGAATGTAGAACAGCTGATGCAGTTGTTCTCTGGTCGGTTACTAGACAATCACAGGTCATGGCTGAAGCGAAACAGCTGTGTGAGTTTGTGCTTAGAGTCCACCGCTGAGGGAAGGTTGCTGCACACCAGACAGGGAAAGCCATATCCAGGTGCTTAAAATGCCAGTGGTTGCAATGCAAATCAAAAACTACAAGGATTTCTACACTGTAACTCATCTCAAAGGATGTTGTAGGAAGCCAAAAGTGTCCTCTGAGCTGGCAAGAATGTTAGAAACCAAGAGAGATCCAAGAATCGCTACGAAGGCCATCCTGATGAATCTGGTACCAACATCTGAAGACAGACAGTGAGCAGATCTGGTCTCTATGGACACAAACCAAGAAGGAGTCTGTTTCTCCAAGACAGGCACAAAAAAGCTCACCTGGACAAAGAAGAAACCTTTTGATTATCAGTTTTGTCGTGGCATTAGATGAAAATGGAGTTGTTTTGACGCAGGAACATGGCTGTTGTTTGGCAAAACAAAGGTTAAACATGACGGTGGGAATGTGACGCTTTATGGTGTTTTTTAATCAACAACTTTGCTGAAATAAATGGCAACTGTGAGAAAAAAGCAACTACATTAGGATTCTGGAAGAACACTCCATGCAGGAAAACTTGGCCTTGGGCAGCATTGCAACGTTTGAAACAACGATTGGGAACATACAGCCAAAGTGGTGGTGAAGAAATGGTTACCAGAAAGCAATATCAACATTTTCCAGTCCAAACCTGAATTCCATCAAGAAACCATTGGAGAAAACTGAAGACCAGAGTGATGGCGGGGAAATCCTCCAACCTCAAAGACCTGGACTTCGCTCAGAATAGTCTTGGACGTGGCATTTTTAGTAGAAAATACAGAAAAAGTTGGTTCTTTTGTCACTTGTTTATGTCATTTCCAGCTAGAAGACTGGTGAAACAAAAGTTAAGTAAATCACAATTTGGCTGGGGTATGAGTAATTTTGGGCTCAGCTGTATATGAGGTTAGGTACTGTATGTCTTCGGAATAATTTACTGTGTTATAAAGAGAAATTGCACAAATAATTACAATGATTTTTATTCTGCCTTGATACAGATGTTTATCTTACCATTTTTTCCATGTGACTGATTCATGTTTTTATAGCTTAATCATTTAATGTCAGAAAAGTCCTTTTCAATGCTCGAGCAAAACACAAAACATCTGCAATAATTCAGCACAGCAGCTGATGTCAGGACGCTATATAGAGAGTGACCAAAACCTAGTATTCAATTCCCTTCAGTGGAACAGCAATAAATCAGCTGTACTGTGTGAAGGCAAGTCGGTGCTTTTCTTTGTTTTCATCCAGAGTGCCAGCAGCCACGACTAAAATGCTTTAAAGCTATGGGGTAACCCTTAAAAAATGCTTTTTTTCACCCATTTAAACCATGTTTTCTCAGGATTACTGCATTTAAGAGAATGTTTCCTTCTGATTAACTAAATAATTCCCAAACCAAAGGGATTTGTTTAAAGGTTTTAGAGTGTAATAATCCAGATAATAGTAATTTAAATTTGTTTTCACACTAGGCCTAATATACTTAGTCTAATATATTCCAAAAGGAAATGCAGTTGTACTCACAGTGCATTTATAGAGAGAGCCTTTTTTTGTATTTGTTGACACTTTGTGTGTCTCTTTCCAGAACGCTCTTTGGCAATAGAAAGCAGCCATGTTTTGGACAGGTAGTCTAAGTGAACTCCATCAGGAACGCTCTGTGAAGACTTGACACCAACGATCGAGATTCCCCCCTCAGCCCCTCACATGAGAAAAGGAAGGTTTTAAGGGGATTTAATGTTTAATCACTGTTTTTAAATAAAATATGACGCCAAAGTGGGACCGTGAACTTCCCGTCTACTCTCCTGCCTCGTGTGATGGGTTCAACTCATGGATGATCCAAGTGGTAGAGAAGAGAGTGAGACGGGGAAAGAGCACTCAGAGCACAGTCATCCTGGTTACAGTACAGTACTTACCCTTTAGAGGAAATCATCGCGGTGACTCTGCTTAACGGGGGGTCACCTTGCTGATGGGGACGCTACAGGGTCCGCTCCATTTTCGCCTCGCTGTTGTTAAAAGCTTGAGATAGGTCATGAGTAAGAGGCGAGCATGTGATACATGGAAACAGAGATGTTTCATGTGTTTGACTGCAGGGACGACTTACTGACATTCTAAAAAAGTCACACAGATAGCCGGCGGCTTCAGACCATTTATAATCACAGTGGGATTTACACAGACAAGGGGAACGAGAGAATAAGCTATTTTGATAACAAAATCAGACCTAAGGTAACCGAACAATGCGTGAATTGGGAGGATTTCTGCAAATACAGACGGCTACAAATTAAATGAAAATCAGCAACACATATTTTAATGGGAAGTTAGGCAACTATGTACCATCAGAACAGCTTCATTGCTCCCTGGTGTTGACTCTCTGAGCAGCTGGAACTCTACTGAAGAGTCTAGATTTCACATGAGCACCATAGTAGGAACTCAATGCAGCAAATCTTAACACACTTTTTTCTTTAAACTTACTTCATGTGTCCATCTTTGTTTTGTAATGACAAACTCAGCCCTCCTTGGCATGGATAATACCATATTTCTGGAGAGATTTTCTGCCTCTTAAGAGACTTTTTTCAGCTGCTATTTGCTGGAGGCGTTTGTGTTGCTCTGCCTTTGTCTTTAAAATACCCCAGAGGTGTTCTATTGGAGTCGAGTCAGATGTCATACTTGCCCTGGTCATAGATTTTACCTTTTGTCTTCTTCAGAAACTCTTGTGTGATTTTGGCAGTGTGCTTGGGATCGTTATCATGCTAGAATATTCCTCTTCTGCTAAGTTTTAGCAGGCTGTGAGTCATCTTGTGATATATCCACAGACATTCATGGTGCCATCTATAAATGTCCCCTCCCCAACACCTTTTGCACCCATCATGCCATCGCATTGCCACCTTTGGTGCTTCACTGCCAGGACCATGCATTCACTGTGGTTGTTCTGACCACGTTCACGCCAAACATCCTGGTCCCCATCTGAGCAGAACTATTTTATCTGACTAAAAACAAAAAAAAATGAAGACTTCTTTGTTATTTTTAAGGAAAGCTTAATCCCGTAATGTCATGCTAAAGAGATGTCATCTATAGAGGCAGATGTTACACAATGTCCCTAACACTGTTAGGCTGTCACAGAAACTCAGATTCTCATTGATAACTCCTTCCTGTGCCAAGTCTGATGCATTTGCACATCTGTTTTTGATCGTGTGTCTGATTAGTGATGCTGTGGCTCTTTATTTCTGATTACTGCTGCAACCGTCATTGTGGTGATACAATTGTGAATCATTTGACATTGAAGTGGTACTGCACAGGGGACCTTTCTCACAATTTGAGTTGTCATGATGGAAAAAACACAGGTGTAACTCACAATATTTCATGTGTCCTTGTAAACCATAAAAAAAAGAAATCACCAGCATGCAGCATTATGTTAATGTTTTCACAGTAGACATGTTGGCATGTCACAGCAGGGAAAACACACATGTAATTAATAACATGTAATAAATCAGTGTATTCCATTTCGATGAGCTCCTTCCACGGCCTTGATATTTCGCATGCTGCCTCACTGACATCGCTCACTGGGAGAGTTAATGGGACTGATCCATCCTTAACTGAATTAGTTACACCAGTGCTTTC